TCTCTCTCTCTCTCTTTCTTTCTTTCTTTCTTTCCTTTTCTCTCTCTCTCTCTCCCTCTCTCTGTTTTATAAAGTTGAATCTACATATGTGAGGTGGTGGCTCTCCCTGTCCTGGCTCAGAGGGCATAAGCTCTCCCCAGGGAGGGGCAGGGCTGGCCTTCTGAAGAGCTGGCCCCAGGCGGGACCACAGTCAGGACACAGGAGCAGAGCACCTGCAATCAGTCACAGCACTGTGGCAGAGATTGCAGTCATCTGGAATGAACTCACGTCCTCAGAATTGGCCTCAGCCTGTGTGAACCCTCTTGCTCCCTGTCACATTGTACCTAGAGGAAACTTTGGTCATGCAGACCTTCCACAGAGCATCACACATACAACCCTGTGTGGATGACATCATGTTGATTATACAGCAGGAAATTAGCATGAATCTGGGTGTTCTGAGGAATACACAAGAGCTGCAGAGAGTGAGATGTAAGTCCTATGTGAACGCATGGAACTATAATATTGGGGAAGATGTCAGTTTCAGAAGTCTGAGGCACACTGGCTCATCCTCTTCAGCAGAAGGACACGTAATAGCACTTTGCTCCTCGAATACTGAGAAGGAAGCACCAGGCCAGGCGGAGTCCTGAGGGCGCTGGTGGGACATTTTTCACACCCGGGCCAACTCTATCTCACTTTACATCATCTGTAAACGTCAACTATAATGGATAAAATATCCAAGCAGAAGACATAAAATTATGAAATACTTTTAAGACAGCCTTGTGTAAGACTTTCATTACTTTAGATTTGGACTTTTTTGCTCAGATACGCACAAAATCAGACAACAAGAGAAGAAGTAGGCACAGTGAACTTTATTAAAATTCAGTACTTTGGTGCATCAAAGAATGCCGTTAAGAAAGTTAACAGACATAAAACTACTCTATGGCATAAAGTATTGTAAAATCATATATCCAAGAAGTAATTCCTAACCTGAGTATATCAATAAATCCTGAAATTCAACAACAAAAAGATATAGGTTATGGACTTCAATATACATTTTCCCAAAGCACATTGTAATCTAGAATGGAGAAATCATCTAAAAGTATACTTTGATTCAGTACAATTGTCTTAGGTGTTTTATACGTTCTACAACCTGTTCCTCCGCTTTTCAGTCTGTATAAATGGTAATTAACTTTATATGGTCTCATGAATGAATGAATGTGATTCTGGAAAATAAAAGGGTGGTAGAGAGAGGCAGGAAAGTGGGGAGCTGAAGTGTGTTACCTGTGTGTACCAGTCCCCGACAGTGGCTGTGACCCTCATGTACTGCAAATGCGTACTAACAAAAGGAAAAAGGGAAAGAGGACATAAAAAGTGTTCATTAGCAAATAAAAAGATGATCAATCTAACTACTCATTAGGGAGATACAAGTCAAAGCCACAACAAAACAGTACTCCACACCTAAGACTATAGTTAGAAAATCAGCAGTGCCTGAAGCTGGAGAGAAATTGCAAACATGTGCATTCCTAGTGGGAAAGGAAAATAATGTGGTTTCTATGAAGGAGATTCTAGCAGGTAATCAAATTGTTGAATAAAAACTTGGAGGTATGATACACATTGTGAAAGGAAAGGAAAACGCTCAAGGGCAAAGGGCAACTGGGATGTGGGAAAGGAGAAGGGAAAGAAGGAGAAATTTTGTACATAAGAATATACAGGATAGTTAACATAGTTGTTCTACTGTCTTCTATTTCTTTGCTGAAAAAAACAGTTAATGAGTCCTTGATTGATCAATACGGCATGTCTCTATCTGTTTTCATGAGAAACCACTTTGAAGATATCAATATGTAATAGAACAAGCATTGTTAATTTCCTACCACTTTGTTTGTAACTCTACTGTTTGTATTTTTCTTTTGCTATTTTCTAAATGGTTGTCTGTCTGCTAATATTTTCCTCCTTTTATTTTTAAAATTAAAAGAAAAATTACCATGCAATTCCACGCCTCCTTGGTATAAACTCAAAAGAAGTGAAAGCAAGGACTGAAAGCACTGTGGATATTTGCATACTTGTGTTCTGTTATAGTTTGTGTCTGTATGTCCTCCCAAAGGCTCAAGCAGTCATTGGGCAGCCTTTTAGGGTTTATGATTGATCCATGATCAAATGCTGGGATTATGGTGTGAGTGCTATACCCGCCCTGGGGTGGAGAGTCTTCATATGTAAGGGGGAGAAAGAGGCTGCTTGCCCCAACTCCTCCCTTTTGCTCTTGTTGCTTTTGCTGTCTTCCACTGCCATGAACTGTTGCTCTCTGCCATGTGCCACTGTGCCTTGGAACCAGCCAAGCGTGGACTGAAACCTCCACAGACTGTGAGCTAAACAAACCTTTCCTTCTTTAATGTTGGGCATCAGGTATTTTGTCTCAGCAATGACAGAAAAGTAACAAAGCCATATTCATATCACCATTATTTAGAGTATCCAAAAGGGGGATAAGAATCAATACGTGTGTTTTCAGTCAGAGATCTTTAAAAGCTGCTATACCTTCCTGACCATTGTTTGCACTAAAAAGACAGAGTTTGGAGAAAGAAATGTCACTTTCATATGGGGATGAAGATTACCAGTAAACGAAGATGTGCGGGGCACTGTCACCAAGGAGAACAATTCTGAAGGAACATTATTGTGAGAACAGCACTTCTCCACTTCAATCGCATAGCAACCTAAAGGGCACCTTGGAAGAGAGCAGGACTCTCCACAACAATATCGTGCCTGCAGTACGCCGGCAGTCTGTGCTTATTAACGCCCTTGAGGATCCAGGGCTTCAAGATCACAAGGGTCTCATTTTACCCTCAAAACTGACTGCAACCTTCCCACAAACCTTCACTCTAAGTCCTTAGCGGCTTCTCCATATCTGAGATGGGCCCTTCTCAAACTTTTACTGGTCTTGATTCTTTCAGTGACACAGCTTCTGTCACTTGTTTTCGGTTCCTAAATGTCATAGCTCTGGTGGAATGGGACAGGCCTGACTAGCAATCAACAACTGTCAGTGATTTTCAAACTCTGTGGTACTTAATCTCTTTTAACTTTGTCTCCATGTCAGTCTCCTCACATAGCTTCTTACTACAAACACTTGCAGTGGATTTTGTATACTTAGCAGGTGTGACAAAGAAAGTAGTATGAATTATACATCAAGGATGAGAGAAAATGATACAGTCAGTGTGAGGTAAAGAAGAGATGCTTGGGGCTGCTGCTGGAGTAACACAGCATGTTATTTACAGTGAGCTTTTAAATAAGTATAATGACCACAATCTAAAGTAATGACCTACAGCATAATATAAAAATACATAAATGAGTAACATAATCATTTTATGATCATTATCATGTATTATATGTTATAGGTAATGGTATGACTGCCAGTGATAAGTTTGATTATCCCACTATCACCAAAAATGCATGAATAATGCACTTTCCTATGGCAGTGACTACAGCATCCATAGGTGATATGAAGTTTCCTGGTACCTTCTGATCCCATGGAACCACAGTTAGAGATGTGATCTGTCATTGACCAAAACATTATACAGCATATGACTATATCCTACAATGTATTCTCACCTTGAAAACTATCCTTCATAGAATATTCCACAGAAGAAAGCACACTGTATGACCCATTTATCTTAGATTCCTAGAACACAGAAAAAACTGTGAAGGAAGAAGTGGAATAGGTGATAGTAGGGAATGGAGAGAGGGGAAAGTGGAAGATACAAAGCATGAAGGAGAGTTAAAGAGTACTTTCCTGCTCTCAGTGATCTGAGAAGCAATTGTATAAAATATGTGTGTAATTGTACCTTGGCCCCATAACATGGAGAAATAGAACACATTTGACAGTCACAACACAGACAGAGTTGTACTGGAGGAAGGAGAAGACACCGGACAGTAACTCAGTTCTGTGTAAACAAATAAGAACCATAAAGGATAAATTAGAATGTTGATAGGATTAACTAAATGAACTACATAAACATAGGCTTATTCTTTTATTTCTCAATTTCTTTATACATATAAAATTATATTAGGCAGAAATTCTATTGTGAGGTTTCTATAACATATATAGCTGTAGACCCACAATAATACAAAATTAAAGTACAAGAAACTGAACAAGAATAACATTTCTATAGCTCACTGCAAACAAAACAGTGTAAATTTGAATTATACTCATGTTTGATATGGTAAATCATAGGTGGCAATACTAAGAAAATAACTTCTATAGTGAAAATGAATATATTTATCATAACTAAATTGCATCTAGTACATTGAGCAGTACAAAACCCAAGACAAGTGAAGAGACTAAAAGACTAAAGGAAAAAGAACTTCTCTGTTCAAGGATGTAGAGTCACAGCCACCTTTGGAACAGCAGCCATCAAATAACAAATGGCTGTTTCAAAAGGGATGCTATAAGTGTACTTTATGCTCACAACATTTTCTCCTAGACTCCTCTAAATGTGTTCAGATTCAGACAAACAAAACTAATCAAAATAGGTGAGTCTATCAACAGATCCTCACCGTGGATAATTTCTCAAATTATCAGGAGTATTATAACTGACAGGAAGCCTGGGTTTCACTGCTTCTAAGAAGACAATTATTCTGTTTCCATATTTTATCACTTGTGTGGGCCGAGGAGTGGACACAGCAGGAGCAGCGATGTAGGAGGAGAGAGGGAAGTTAAGGGCAGTGGGCGACAGAACCATCTGTTCACTCAGTGACCTCATAGAGAAGAACGCCTTGCCCTACCAGAAACACCTACTTCCTTGTGGGCTGTTCTCTCAGAGACGGTGGAGTCTCGTCATTTTTAATTCGCTGAATTTTAAGGTTTCTTTGCAGCAAGCAATGTGAGAATCATCAGAGTCTCCCATGTATCCCCTTTCAGTTGTGTGGAATCACTCGTTTTTCATGATTTTCTCTCCCTTTGAGAAGTGAACATTTTGTATATGTTCTGCTACTGCACCTCACCAGCTTAAGTCTTAATCTCACATCACATGTTGCAGCAGAGGCTGTGGTAACCTTTATGCAGTCTATTTTTCCCTTTGCCCTTCTAAATTTCAAACCCCACTTTTAATATTGCAAGAACCCCCCTTGCAATCAGCAAACAGTAATTGAGACAAATCAAGCATTCTTTCATTAGAATCTTCTAGCTATTATGAATTTATAAAACTCCATCTGAACTTTCAAAAGGGAAAAGGCATTAGTAATGACTCACAGCACATTCCTCCTAAAGATAGGAGGCTGTCTCAGAGATGTTAACAAAAGAATAAATAGTAAGACAGGTTTAAGGACTTTGATAAGTGGAAAAAACAAATTTCTTAATATTACCAAATGTGATCATATAAAAAAATATATCCCACGTGTGAAATTTTCAACATCTATTTCTTCTGCATCAGTCTCCACGAATTCTGAGGTTCTTATGCTGTTTCCATGACAACTGTGGGCAGATGGGGAAAACTAGCATGAGCTGTTAGTTCGTTCTCCCTGTCATTACAGCTGGTTACTCACAGGGCACTTGTATTACCTCGCTGTCCCTCCTGCTTCAGGCACCCAGTGTAGCTGGAGGTGATAAGCAAAGCATTCAGGGGCCTCTCGAAGTCTTCCACACCATCTCCCTGCATCGCTGTCAGTCTCCACCAGAGCAGGCGTGTCCATGCTCCTTCTGGAACTTCCCTCACCCTCTAACCTCAAGTGCCCCATCCTGGAGGACAAAACCTGCTCGTCTCACACAGTGACAGAACACACGTGTGCAGCAGCTGGGTCCCAGAGCTCACCCCACTCACCGCATCTCCTTCCTCATCTGTCTCTGCCCTTACCAGGGATCCAGAGCAGGAACACCCTCAGGAACTAAATAGGATCCCTCATTTTAGGAAACTGAGCTCAGTAGTCTTAATAAACATAACAAGATTATAACTGAGCTTTTATTTTAGACTTGTAGGGAAAGTCCTCACTAGTGAGCACTATGTAAATCCCCTGGTGGGTGCAACAGTATGTGAAGATCCCAGGGGACGTGGCAGGTGACTGGTGAGCAACGTGACTGAAGGATCTTGCTCTTCTCTCTACCCTGCTCAAGTCCATCCTTTGGCAAGAAGATACTACAGTTTCCTGCCATCTTAAGGTTCGTGACACTGCAATTTTACACACTGAGCTGAGACTCGAAGTGCATAGTTCGAAGAAAGAACCACAGTTTTCCTGATCCTATCCAAGATCCCACTACTTTTACAAGAATAAACACATCTGAGTTTTTTTCAGGTCTTTAGCAATTGTTACAGTTGCACTGAGTGGGGGTCTGAAGCACAGACTTATGTTGAGCAACAGTAGTGCTGGAGCCCGTGGCATGGGTTGGCCCACAGGGGAGGTGGCTCCCACGTCTGAGTTTCTCTGCTACATGAGGCTGTGTAGCTTTAATGGGGACCTGGGGATATGGGAGCCACACCCAGTCCCAGCTGGCATGATAGTGACTTCTCCTGTTGTAGGCGGTGGTTATAGCAATGTCTGTCTCTCTGTCTGTCTCTAGCTGTGTCTCTCTCACATTGTCTCTCCCCCACTCACCCCATGTATATGTGACAGCAGAGAATAAAACTCAAGTTCTATTATGGTTTAGATTGAAATATGCCCCTGAAATTTTATGTGTTCTCAGAGAGAGCTTTGGCAGATGAGGGAAATGTGAGGTCTCTAACTGTACCCAAGGATTAATCCCCTGATGAGATACTAATTTGATAAAATTATTGGGAGATCATACAAATTTAGGAGCTGAGGTCTTTCTGATGGAGGTATGCCCCTAGGTACTATATTGTGTCCCTTGCCCCCCTTCTCTGGCTTGTATTTTTTCTCTCTGCTCCCTGGTTGCCAGGAAGGCAAGCAGCTTTTCTCTGCCTTACTATAAGCTTAACAGAAAGGGAGCCAGTTGACCCTAGACTGAAGTTTTGAAATTTTAAAGTAAAATAAACTTTTGTTCCTTTAAGTTGCTTGTTTTTCCAGGTATTTTGTAAGAGGGACAAACAACCAAAACACTGATTCCAGAGGATTTTTGTTGAAATTGAAAATATATTTCTAACATATTTTTTACTTTTTTACTTTAAAAATAAAAGGAGGAAAACATTAACAGACAGACAATCTTTTACAAAATAGCAAAAGAGCAGTACAGACAATACAGAGTTACAAACAAACTGGTAGGAAGTTAACAATGCTTCTTGTATTACATATTGATATCTTCAAAGTGGTTTCTCATGAAAACAGAGACATGCAATATTGATCAGTCAAGGACTCACTGACAGTTTCTTTCAGCAAAGAAATAGAAGACAGTAGAACAATTATGTTAATTATCCTGTATATACATACATACAAAATTTCTCCTTTTCCCTTTTCTTTTCCCACATCCCAGTTG